GTGGTACTGTCCCTAGGCACCCCCGTTTGGCTTTTGACATTAGTACTTTTATAATGAAGAAATATTGACAAAGAGTTTCATGGAAGGCTGATTTTTTCCCTCTTCTGTTCTATTATTGGAGAAATTCCCTGAAGTACAGCGGAAACTTTCAAGTAGCTATGTATTCGGTCTTTTTCATTGTGTCGCACGTGTAAGCATATAGATCTATGCACGTCCGTCTTGTCAAGCAGCTCAAGAGTATTTCTTTTGGAGTGCTGGTTTTTAGTTTAAGTTACTTGGACAACTTGTCGGTCAGTGTTGTTTCCTTTCTTGGCATCTTCCCTGTGTGATCAGCGCTGTAAACTGCACTATCAGATGACTGGAACAACGTTTTGGTCAGCGACAAAGCTGTCGCTCTTGCTGACAGTCAAGCACCCTCAAGCCCAGTGGACCGTTTGCTATCGTTGCACGTCTGGGAAATCTCGCATCTGATAAGCTAGCGTGACCTTAAGCAGACAACCTGGCTAAAAATACGATCAACAGACCGAATAACTCCCTGTCTAGAAAACAAGCTGTTACCTTGTCTACAAAGAAGATATGTCGAACGTTGGCGCCAATACTCGAAGAGCACTTTTATGCCTACAGGTTTTCACTCTTTCACAGGTGACCCCTCTCCCCCCTAAGCTGTTGATCTTACTAACCTACTTTAGCTCCTTAGGCAAGAAGAATATGTTCTGAGGTCGCAGTAAATGCTGCAACCCTTTACCACTGTCGGATACTCTCCGTCCACGAATCTTATCATCAACTGACGTGAAAGAAAGAACAGGGCCTCCAAGTATGCAGGGTATTGAGGCAGAGTTGGATCTAACAGGCGGGTATAGATATTCCTGCTGAAAATTAGCTTAATGCCACCCCTAGGAACATTCCTATTTTCATTTTCTGTCGGGTGACTACTAAATTGTCTGCTATTATGCAAACATATCATGGGCACGAACTGTGCATACTTTTACAGGTTGAGCTTATTAATCCTTCGGAAGTGGGAAAATAAGAAGAATTGAAGGATAGATCTAGCGTTACAGAGGACGAAATATAAAAGGTCAAAAGCAGCGTGTATGCTCATACGAACATGTTCTTTTCTTATTCTGGACGACATTCCTAGCCGTTTAAATTTATTAAGGTATAAATTGGACAGTAAATGGGTGTCCGTTATTATAAAGTTTAAGAGACTCGTCGGAAAAAATAAAGCAAATGGTAGCCAGCCAAATAATCTCTTTTTTTCCTTCGCCATTTTTCAGCTAGTTAATGGAACATGTAAAACTGATCTCCGTTTATGGCCTGTTAGGCACGTAGACACATATATCTAATTAGACGTAGTCCTTAGAAAGCGCTGAGATGGCGGATTTTTCGAAAATTTCAGTTCCCTGCGCAAAAAAATAATTTTACAAAACCATCAAAATAAGTATTCAATAATTACTTACTATGAGGAGAAATAGGTGACTGTGAGAATAATGAGTGGGAAGGTGTCAGACTTTTGTGCTCTCACCTAAGTACATTAATCTAATTGACAGACCGCCTGCATCTTGAGATTAATCTTAAATTCGTTCACTCCATAATGTTTGCTGAAGCGACACTCCTCAAAGTCCAAAGCCCTGGCATATGGCTCCCTTCGGAGTACCTTACTTCCCAAATACATAATTCTCCGTACAACTAAGAAAAGCAGCCGACCTTTTATTAATCATATCGAATGAAAGGCACTGCAAAGAAATGAGAACTAAGTACTAATTAACTAGCCTAATTGATAGACGCAATCACACTGTCTGGCAAGAAGTAATCACGGGGGTGCTTTTCGGTGGATCACTTGACTATGAACCGTAACTGCGTGGAAGTATTATCCGCCACGAACGCATAAAGCCTATTATTTAATAGTTTCCGGACGTTTCCTTTTGATTTAATGGAGAAATATTGCTAAGCTAATTAATATGTCACCCATAAACAGTCCCAGTATATAGAGCAAATGGATCATCCCATGAAATTCTAACCAAACTTCTGAAGTGCGTCCTCGATTAGGACATATAATTGTTAACTGGGATTGCAATGTCGTGCTGCATAATTCTATCATAGTTCAGATCAGCCCAGATACTGACTTTCGAATTAACTTTCTTTTTGGCTGCCTGCATAACTGCTTAAGTAGTCAGTAGGTTGTAATAGTGATTGTCGTACAACGCCAGAATATCGAAGTTTCAATGCACATATATAGGTCCGTCTAAAAGAGCGAAATCAGTAAAATCATGACGATATGTGTGTTATGCTTTTTTTTCTTTTCGAGGTTAAGTATCAGTCATTATTCTTTAACGGACCTTTATAGAAGGAGTAATTATAACTATGCAGACGTTCTCATGGCTTAGCTAAAGGCCAGTTATTTTAATGTCCCTTTAAAAATACGTTAGCGTTTGAACACGCAGGATGGCTTCTCCTGAAAAATCCCATGAGCCATTAAAACCCATAAAGCAATAATGCGACCTAGGTTTTTATGTTACTTGAATTGATGAGTAGACATTTAGCAAGCCATTAAATAACACTATAGTCAAAATTCACTGACCAGAGAACAGTGACTGTCAGACAGAACGAAATGTCCCAATTTCGCTGGTAGCCCTTTAGACCTAATTCTTAGCTGTGCATAAACATCTTTCCCTGACTGTATATTCCCAGTTATGCAAGAATAAAATGATTTCGACAAAATTCACAAGCGCTAGTATACATAAATTTAGTGAGTGATCTATTATTAACAGAAATTCTGGGTGTCTTTCTCGATTAAGGAAGAATTTGTAATATTTGATCATCATGGAGCATAATCCTATGTTATTTCGGAAACTTCAGGAGGGGGACGTTTGAATGCTATGCATTTCGGCTGTCCACTAAAACCACACCCGATAAAAAGTTATTGCTTATGTAGTTTGCCCTTTTTGTTGAATTGCGATGGTTTGATATATAAAACTATGCATTTTTTTCTGAAAAGATGCACGTTTACTCGGTTGACTGTCAGTCACATCCTCTTTAGATTCAATGCTCGAAGACGAGTAATCTTTCGGTTTTAAAAAAATTTCCAATTTTATGATTTTATGAGACGTTATAATGTCCATTAAACTCACATCCTATATGCTCATGTAACAATATCCATCGTGAAATATGCTACATAGTCCACATCCAGTTTACAGTTTTATGCGCCATATGTGGTACATTTCTATGGCACTGAGGAATTTATGAGTTTCATATCCCGGAAAACTGAAAAAAACCCTTAACGAAAACGCACCAGCAGATCGAGCTCCAAGTCAATGGAGAATTAAAATCTTTTTCGAAACCTAATGGTAGCCTTCCTATGACCTGCTACCAAATGAGTACACGAAAGAATATGTTTGCATAGGTTTTTCATTACATATATTTTAATTTATTAACGCTTCGACAAACAGTAGAAGAAAGCATAATACGCAGGGAGTCATTTTTTACCCAGTGCGACAGAGAAGACGCACATTAACACGCCGGCATTCTGGTGTGTACGAAATAACTTGGCATTAAACTAAACGGTATTTAATATTACCTTACTGCTTTAGTAATCGTTCCTAATCTAAGATTGATTTCAGAATTGTGGTAAACATTCCATGAGGTTAGTCACTGACTGCATATTTGCTTGCAACGTCAATACTTACATTGTAATTGTTTTCGTAAACTAGGAAAAAAGCGACCGCTTACAGTAGATTTTCGAACTCATTGAATACTAAAATTGAAAATTGACGAGGTGATTTAACACAAATTTGAAGTTGCGAGTTTCGTTTATTGAATTGAGTTGATGCGTGAAACGCTGGTTAATAGAAAAGAGTTCACTTCAGATAAGTGTATTGAAGGAAAAGATGAGCCAACTTGGACCCTATCGAACGTTTCTGGATATCCAAGGAATTTTTCATGCAATTAAACGCTGCGGATCAAAACCTCGTCTTTATTAGTGCTTTGTTATAAAAGAGCACTAAGATAAACCGGAAAAGTTTAACGTAAACCCTTCCAGAGGATAGAAATTTCGTTTTTTAATGTAGCCAGTATCTGATATTTGACTTTTTAGAGAAAATTAATTGTTTTATGTCAGTAGATAGTAATTTATCAAACAGCTTATGCCTTTATTTAGAAATGTTCGTTTATTAACTGCTGTAAGACTTTGGAGGCACAGTATGTACAACATTATTTTTCTTGCATATCTTGGCGGATTTTGGACTATAAATTTTTTCGAGGAAGGAAATATTTTCGTCAAAAAATATGTTTTGGACCTGCGGTCATTCGCTCCCGAGATCGCCGTGTCTTCTCATATATATAGTCACGGTTTTGCGTGACAATGCCAATGAAGATCCTTATGAAAATAAACCCGATTGGCAATTCGTAAACAAATTTAAAAAAACCTAAATTAGACATTCTACTCTGGTTTCTTCAAGAAAAACACCTTGACCTCTAGGCATTTTGTCTGCATAGGTGCAAAAAACTCTGTAGTTAAGCGGTAATTAAAATCTTCGGCGGCACAAACCTTGGCCTCCCAAAGAGCATGAAGTAGGTATTGAGGGCTGCCACGTAGTTCTCCTTCTCCTCCCTACTTTCAAATTTTTTCGGTCGATCCGGATATCCAAGCGGTGGCAGACCGTACTGGCGTTCTGCTTCCACGAGGTCCTCCGAAGTGTAAGGATTATCCAGTAGGTCAATTTCTGTCTCCATGGGTGATACTTGGAGTCGCTGTCCCCCGTAACCCACAGTAGTCCACGCTAGACAGGTTACTAGCAGGGCTTCTACGGTGGTTCCCATCACTCCATTCATTGGAAACATGACCTTCTATAGCAAATGAACGTTGATTAAGAAGCTTTTATAGGCGCGCGAGAAGTTGGAGCTATAGGCAGGGCTTTAGGGATTTAAGTCAGCCAATCAGAATTAGCCGTGCATGAGAAGGAGTTCTCCTGCACGTTTAGAGGAGGAATCGTTTCTAAATAAAAGGTTTTTAGGAAAAGTTCCAATTTTATTTGGCCTCTTACTCAGTCTGTGTAGTTCCTAATGGATTGTTCCTAACAGAAACATGGAATTTTACATCTTTTTTTCAGGACGGTTGTGAGTGAGCACGGTTAATTTTGAAAATCAGTCGGTTTTGATCGTCTGGCTCTTAATATAAGCGCTTAAGGACTAAACGGGACCGGCATTCAAAAATGACAATATACGTTTGTAAACTACTTATAATATTTTGACGTAGGCGCTACCAAAGCAGGGTGCACCAAGGTGTAAACAAGTTGTAAGCTGTAAATAATTCAATATTACGGTTTATTTGAATGCCTTTTGATCGATTCTGAGGTTAATTTAAAGGACTGGGATGAACAAAAACGAGATAGATCAAAATTGCGGGAAAGAAAGATTTATAAGCGGCGGAAAATTCAGAAGTGCGGCTCAGAAGTAACAAATTCGACAGCCAGGGGGGGACTTCACTTGTCTTGCACTTTGGATTCATACTGATACCATTCCAAACGACCGAAACAAGTAAAAACGGTAAAAGAGCATAGTAGACTAGCTTTCCTGTGTATGTTTATCACAATGCATATTTCTGTTTATTTGTAGAGCTTGCAGTCATCAAATATTCAAGCGTGGCGCAATTATTACCCGCTTTATCATATCCAAATCGTTATTCGCCAAGTTTAAAGCATCCGCGTGTTTTTTTTTTCGTTTGCGACAATGACTTTCTACGGGAATCCGGCACATCCGACGCAATAAAAACCTTGTATTAGGGCGCAAGTTTAATTATCATCAAAAGGATTTATTCAAAACTTCCGTGAGCCGACATAAGGGCAAAATTCGGTTGTTTCAGTCTAACTTGCTGCAAGCCTTTACAATTTCGGAGCAGCTATGAATAAGTCCTTTTGATGATTATGCATTTAACCGTCACAGGTTATTTCGGAACACATCCCACGTCCTACAGAAATGAAGCATTCTGAAAAGTTTTTATTTTGTGGGTCTTTTGGCCATTGTTCTATACTAGTAGTTCGGAAGGGCTAAAAACAGCCTGTTTTTAAAATCAGATTAGTTTCTGTCTTCCTTCTTCGTAAAGGGAGTAACCGAAAGAAAAGTATCTGGAATGCTGCTTTTGACAAGAGACCGAAAAAGCCCGACTTTTTTAAAAGGTAGTGGGGCATTCACCGATTGACTTACGGTGCACATTCCTCCCACTGTGTCATGGGAATAATTCTGGAGAGCCGCCAGCAACTGGTCAGTAGCTGACTTATAAAAAGCACAGGAACATATTACATATCAAGACAAGGGAGACTGAAATAGCCATTCATAGCTTATTAGCTTTCATCAGCCATCCATACCCAAACACTGCCACCGATGATCGCCCCTGATCGCAACTGACAGGACAGTGACCCCGCAGCTCAGTGGTCGAGGGTTCGAGCATCGGCAATTGCCATCCCTGGGGTGGGTATGGCTCTCTGATGACGACCAATAAGACAGAAACGAAAATTTAACTCCCTATTCTTTGACGGTAATGTTTTAAAAAGTTGCAATCCTGCCGACCCCAGCACCTTTAGGTAAGAAGCACTTGTTTGACTCCCACAAAGACATGAGAATAAGGAGGCTACGTAATGCAGATGGCTTTGCGTTAGTTTAGTGTTACAGTTGGGTTTAAGATTAAGGTATCGTTGGGGTTAACGTAGGGCCAAGTGTTAGAGCCAGGGCACGGGGACATTTAGCCTTCCTGGAATTTAGCGCAAGACGGAGGGCGTTAAAATGCTCCTGTCCTACCGGACGGAGGGAAGGAAGGAGAAGAGGCTATGTAATAAATCGTCGCCTATTTTTCTAAGAAGCAGCAGTCTGCCTCCAATTCTAACCAATAATCAGTCTCAACACACCCCTTCCTAAGGACGATATACGTGGCCCCCTAAAAAGGTGCGGGAATAGGAACATCCCGCCCAAATGCAAATGTTTATCCCATACAAAATTCCCGTAAGAGTCAATATTTCCGTCTCTTAACACCAAAATCAACCCATAGGTAACACTGAATCATGGCAATAATCGTAGCCCTAACCCTACCCTATATCAGACACTATAGTTTACATTAACCCTAAACTTGACTTTAACTAGCATGGCAACGGTAAGTTATGTAATCCCCTTAGGAACCACTAGGACTGCGTAACATGGGAATTGTGAGAATTTTAAGGAGAGATGCTTCACTGCAGATAAGAAACGAAACTTGCGCAAGATTACATAGAAAAGAAGTAAATTTCCTATATATGTAGTAAAGAAATTGACAGCGATACAAAAAAAAACAGACAAAAAAGCAATTGTCAATAAGTAAAAGTAATTGGAATCAGAGACACTATAATAAAATAAATTTGTACGTGTCCTTCTATGAATGTAGTAGTTAACTCACATTGACGGTTTCTTCCCATAGCTATGAAATAATTAACCAAACCGGGCTAGGCTATGTACTTTAAACTCCGGGGAACTGACATATCCTATCCTTATCACTTACCTTAATGCCAACCTGTGTCCTAATTTCAACTCGAACAGGGACGGGGAAGTGGTTTCGCTAAAGTGCAAATCAGCTAGCGGATTACCCAATGACTTGGTATGGTTCAGTGTTGAAGAACCAAAGTGGTGGCCTGGACACTTTTTGAGAAAATTGTAATGATTACTTATATGGCCCCATAAACAGTACACGGAAATAGGAATGTCTCACTCAAGTAGTAAAGGTTGTCATGGACGTAGTTCCAAGAAGGGCAAATATTTCCGTGCCCTGACCCTAAAGCTAGCCCTAAATCCAAACCGTAGGCCTAATGTTAATCATAATTTCCTTCCTTTGCTCTAAACACCAACTCTACAGTTTACAATAATCTTAACCTTAAAAGTCACTTACATTAACGCTTACCTTGATCCATGAAATTAAGCGTAAAAACACGCGTATTGTGAGCATTTCCTGTTCATATGTGGAGACATATAAGTAATCCTCACTCTCCCCCTTGCTCCGTTTTTGATGTCCTTGTCTCTGAGTTCCCCCTTGGGACAGTTTTGTTTCACTAAGGCAATCGTAATTTTTCTTGCGTACCGCAAAATAACTGAAGTTTACTGGGCGCACAACAATGTATTAGCTTTTTCACGCAAACGAACATAGGGCATGAAGAGGCAACTGGCTACCAGACCGCCGTCGAAAATATGACAGAAAATGCAATGCAGTATTCAGAAGAGCAGTTGGCGAGCACACGTGAGCTTTCGGTAATTTTTCATCGAGCCGTTACATGTATATGGGCAGTTAAGCGACCGTTGGCCACGCCGGACATGGAGCTTGCAGGAGGTTCTTTCACGCGCACAAGACCGGCTTCGCAACCTGATAATGGCTACTTCTGCTATTGCCAGTATCTGCTGACCCAGGAGTTTTGGTTCGTTTACTGGGACCTTATAAATCACCCGGAAGACTTTGTTGGTGTCGACACGATGTTCGGAATCAATAATCTGCGCTACAATAGGCGTTGTTGACGTTCGTGGCTTCCAGTTTTCTCCTCCGTACCTAGGGATAGCTTTTAAACTCTAGAGGAGCATTCTGAGTGATTTAAGGTCCCACCAAACTACGCCAAGCCAGCGTTTGCTAGCAACAAAAAAAGCGTAACCAGACGTTTCTTGTCGACCCGTACCCATATTCCAACGACTCACTTGTATTATAAGATGAACATTATTGACCGAATTGACCCCGTTCCGAAAGAAATGTACTAGTCCGAGTATAATTTACAAATGCTTACGTATGCTGATCAACTGCTCTTTTGAATTATGTAATGGTTATTTTTGTAAGTTTAAAACAATCCAATGAAACAATATTGTTTCAGGGATATGAATGGCTAAAGACTGACTGAAACAATAAGCCCAAAAAGTACGGTATCAGTCCGTCCGCATTCTGCGTCGTCTTCTTGTTCTAATGTCTGATAAAGTTTGAAGACTAACTAAGCAGTCGAAGGAGTGGTTTTCTTAAAAATGGAACCCCGCATAACATAGCTCAGGAAACTCTTTATTCAACTTGAGTTTTAACATGCTTGCCGCAAGAAGGATGTCGAGTACGAAATCATGAAGACTGCAGTGAGCTAGAGACCTCCAAATGCATCCATACTACATAAAGGTTTGAGTAATTGTAGGGGCACAATTCATAATACAGTAGTCGCTGGTTATTAAGCCCACCTCGGGCCCAGACCAAATTGGGCTTAATAAGCGGCTGGGCCTATTAACCGTAGGCTTAATAACCGGCGACTTCTGTACATTTAAATACCTGAACATTTAAAGTGATTTTACGACTTTTTATGGAATCGCAACTCGCATACACATTGTGGGATTTAGGCAGGTGTAGTAAGCATAGCTGAAAACTATTTTTGTCACTGAGAAAGGCTCTTGTCAATGCATACATAAAGCTTCTCTGTATTCTAGCATCTGCCGCGTTAAGCACAGATGCGACACTAACTATTGGCTAAGAAATTATTCGCAGAAGGTAAAAGATGTTAGGCCTTTAGGAACGTATGAGCTCACGTGTGTCTCTTACTCGGATTGTCACTTGTCTAGCAGTTTCACGAAGAACACATCGTAGAACACCCAAACACTAGAGACAGCTGTGAAGAGAGGAGAATGGTTTAAATTTGACAAGTACGGGATTGTTGAGGATGCACCGGTCGTCCTGTAGCGCCGATTTGTTGAAGGATAATGAGGCATTTTTATCGTCTTTGAGACGCCCGCATTAACGGGGTTGCAATTTAATATGTGTTTGCTCACGAAAGCTTCAAACTGCTAACTACCCCTGCATTCAGTTTCCAAAA